AGTCGATAGATATTGGCACTGACGCAACCAATCCACTTCCTCACTAGTACCAACCAATGTGCCTTTTTCTATAATCTGTTCCTGATCACAATGGTTCAGCACACGTACTCTTGAGATGTCGGCGGTTCTGACCAATGTTCGAGCCACTTTCCATGGAAGGTCATTGTCTACCCTTTCCAGGAATACACAACGAAGAGTTTGCCCAGGATTCCGTGGAAGTCTAACCGGCACAATCGTTTCCGATCTTGGCGGAAGAACAATCTTCTTAAGGCTGTACACATTCCCTGGTAACGCCCCTTCCACGAAAAGTTCCTCTTGTCCACATTTCAAAACACCTTGCTTAACGTCGATCTCACAACAATTCTTCCTCATAAAGTCTAGGCCCAGGATGCAGTCGTCCATTATATCAGCCACTATGACATTATGCAGGTAGATCATGTTGCCTAGCTTCAACTCCATCTCCTTCTCTCCACGGACGGGTATGCGCTGACCGGTGGCTGTCACCAAATTAATGCGTTCTCGGTTGTATGCGGAGTCCCCAAGGAACTGACTTATAAGTTGGGAACTGACAACCGTGCGAGAGGCTCCAGTGTCTATGGTCAGTTTACACGGCGTTCCGTTGACTTCGCCCTTGATGATAAGGCTGTTCCCATCATGGGTTTGTGAGATCGAAATCCTTGGGGCTCTTTTAACATCAGCCAGCACCCGCCCCGCAGTCCTGGCTTTTACTCGTTTCCCTGCTGCTGCTGGGCGGTGCTATTATCCGCACTACCCTCTCGAGATCGATCACCTTCCCTTTCTACAGTTCGTTTAGGGCATCTGGATCGAAGATGGCCCCTTTCCCCACAGCCGTAGCACCTAGGGCTGTAGCCCTTATTGCGGTCCTGAACTGTAGCTGCTGCGACCTCCCTGACGCGGTGGGAATGATAATCCTGGCGCACGGCTTCCACCTCCAGTGCATGGGTCAAGGCGTCCTTAAGCGTCTCGTGGTGCCCGAGCCTCACAGCAGCTCTGACTTCAAGGTCGCGGATGCCGTCGATGAATGTCTGCACCAGGTTCCCTACAATGAGCGCAGGTACAGACTGGTACGCTTTTCGAACCAGCTTCTCCACCTCAAGGGCCCACTGCTGCAGGTTTTCGTTACTGCGTTGCACGCGATCTTTAAGCTGCGCACGAAAGACGTGTTCCAGGTGAGCATCGCCATATCTCGCCTCCAAAACCTCAAGGAGCTGCTCGTAAGTCACTTCCTTACCGAGAGCTTCCAGAACAGTTAAGGCCTGGTCGCGTAGGCCTAGGGTGAGAGCAGTCATGGCCTGACTTTTATTCCAGCCGTTCGCTTTCATGACAGCCTCGAACTGGATTTTGTAGGCCGACCAGGAAGAACTCCCGTCGAACGGCGGCACTTTGAATCCACGTAGCGAAGTTGTTGTAGCTACCACGGGAATTGTAATTCCATCTCCAAGTTTGAGGTCGTCCAGCGTTTTCTTCACATCAGCCATCACGTTGTCAACCCGATTGTTCACTTGGTCGATTCGGGTTTCAGCTTCCAACAGGCGGTTGTCATGTTGAGCAACCCTATCCTTCACCTCCTTTATCTCTTTTCCGAAGGTAGCGTGAAGGTCCTTCCTAAGGAGCATCTGTTCTTCCATACCGCGCTGTAGCTGCTCTTCCAACCGACGGGTCTGTTCCTCCTGTCGGCGGGCCTGTTCCTCCTGTCGGCGGGCCTGTTCCTCCTGTCGGCGGGCCTGTTCCTCCTGTCGGCGAGCCTGTTCCTCCTGTCGGCGAGCCTGATCCTGCAGCATCATCATCAGAGCACCTACGTCAGGTGCTGCAGATGCAGGAGCTGCTGACGGGCCGGCTTCCGTGGTTTGCAACTGGCCCTCCGACGTTTGCGGCGTTGCATTACCAAATCGTCTCTGGTCCGTCTCCTGTTGGCGTTGACTTCGGGTACGGATACCCTCCGTGTCGTCTTTAGGTAAAATCGGCATATTTGATCCCACTTCTGACACCAATTGTTACGAGCTTGGGGCTCGAAACAATTAAAAACTGCCGATTGAATTACCAAAATTGACACTTTAATTACACAACACTAATTACAATCTAAAATCACACTAATAATAAAACACAGTTCGCTGTTATTTCGCTTCGAAGTATTCTCTTGTATCGCCAATTCAATACTGCCCCGGTCGTGGTCTATACCGGCCTTATATAGGGCCTCAGATAGTTTCCAGAACCTTCTAATGTAGCGACATCTAAAATGTTCGAGTACATATCGGTCCCGAAATTTCTGGAAGGATCTCGACTCTCCTAGTTCTGCTACTCGACACTAGAGGGCGCTAGTGTGACTAGTGTTGCCATGTACAAGACATTAATAGTGGCGCGCAATACTTTCATTTACTCGACACTAGGGGGCGCTAGTGTAACTAGTGTTGCCATGTACAAGACATTAATAGTGGCGCGTAACAATAATATATCTCTATTGAGAGATTGAAGGCAACTTGTTGGTGGGTGAGACAAACATGATCGAAAAATGCATATACTCAACGTCAGTGACACAAACCCTTTCTGATGGCGAATTATTACTATTATCTTATAACTGCCTATTGGCTATATCTGCCATTGTATTGGTTGGTGGAGCATATGTGTCGACCTCATGCGGGTGGTAGCTGGAGGGAGAATCTGAGGAGGCTCTCAAGGCTGCGGCCGAAAGCCGCGCAACGTGGGACCCCATTCCCTTGAGGTGAGCGGTAGACTCATGACACGCTCTGCGGCCAATTGGCCGTGCTGACCATGCAATTGGTGGTGATGCCTTACACTTACATCACGTCTGCAGGAACGGCGGTCTGGCAGGTGGTGGCGCTCACGGAAGGCTTTTTATGGTCAGTGTGCCTATTGTTGCCTAACCCGTGTGACGTACATTTCACTGTGGCTGGATTTGATCGTATTCTGTATGGCGTTTACACGCATTGACATGCGCGACTTCGGTCGATGATTGTGCTTACGCACTATCAAGGGGCCAAGTCCTCTTTTACTGGTTCGCCAGTTATTTTGCTGTGGACTACGGTCCAGTTCCCAACTTTGCGTACCCTACGGGGGGAGCGCATTAAAATGGTTGGCGCTCACCGTGCGCGGCGTGTGTGGGGCCGTGTACCTCCTCCACATTTTTTTTTTAAATGTGGGAGAGCGAAGCCCTTGTTACTGGTATTTGATATAAATATTGCGAGCCTTTTCCAAGCGGGAAGGGATTAATTAATAAGGAATTGACTGTTGTGAACCAGATACAAGTGGAATAGGCACAATTTATTGTTCTTAACCTTTTTGAGCTCTGTCTTCGTGAACGGGGTTCTTTAGCTTATAAGACTCTACCAACAGCTTTCGATTGCTCTCGTGAATATTCATTCTTCCAAGATACACCTAAAAGAACTAAGTTACTATACAAACACAACGTAAAAAAGGGTCCTAACTAAGACGATCAGGCCATTAATTTATTAAACGGCCTATATTTAAACCTTTAGAAAGATCAAGTTATACTGGTCACGTAAATTAGATATATTTATATATCTTACAGATATAGATTCTAAAGAAATACAAGTATAAGTGGATATATAGGAGAAAAGAAAAAAGATGGGGGGGGGGGTTCGTTACAATTTGGTGCCGTGACCAGGATAGAGGTTAAATTTTAAATAGGAGGCCGGTAATATAAAATTATGAGGTAGGCTATGTGCCTACAATTTGTTGTCCGTGAAATGGAGAGGTGTCTTGGAGAGTGGTGTTTGCTGGGGGTGGGGCTGAAATATTAAAATTGAGTAATAATATAGGTGTGTGCATAACGGAGCGAAATAATAAAAAGTGAAATAAGTGGAAAGACTCGATTAAACTAAGTGAAGGAAACAACAGGTGTAAAAAAAAAACTGCAATACTATATATTATAAAGTGAAATAAGTGGAAAAACTCAATTAAAGTAAGTGAAGGACACGAATAGTGTAACAAAAAAAAACAAGAGGAAATAAAAATTAAAACTGCCTAAAAATAAGAAAAAATCAACCTCAATTAAGGCTAAGTCTAAAGATGAGATGAAAATGCTTCAGAAATTAATTAAGAATGCAGTGAAAACCTTTGAGGTTAAAATAAAGGATCTTGAGGAAAAATTTATTAACCCAACGAAAGATTACCAAATTAAAATAAATCAAGGAGAGGTGTCCGGGGCGAGCACCTCTCATGTAAATGATCCTAGACAAAATATTGTATATAATGTACATAATGTAACAATAGAAAAGCCGAAATTTGGAAATGGAAATACTCATCCAGTATCATTTTTGGAAGTTCTCACCAATTATTTAAAGAAAGTTCCATCTAATGGTCTCGAAATTTCGATTGAACAAGAGTGCTTAGTAGGTGAAGCCAAGTAGTGGGCTCGCAAACTCGTTGGACAACTTTTGATGATTTTAAAGCTGACTTCCTAAGAGTGTTTTGGGGTGAAGAAGAACAAAATAAAGTAAAGAGATTCCTTGTGCAAAATAAATGGAATAGAAGTACACACCCCACCATGGTTAGTTATTTTCTTTATGTGTTGAGAAGGCACAAACATTATCATATCCGATACCTCAAAAACAATTAGTAATTGATGTCATCAGACATTATCCTAAAACTGTGCAGCAATTATGGAGAATAGCTAAAATTGAGACAATAATAGACACGACAGATTTCTTAAGAAACTTAGATGATATCGACAAACAAGATGAAGGTCGTGAACCTTACTATAATGAGAAAAGGAGGAAGTTTAATAATAATACGGAGCAAAAACATAAAGAAATACAACAATCATACAAAACATGGCGTAAACCCGAAGAGGGAAAAAAGAAGGTTAATGGAGTACATGAAATACATTTCACTAATGACCAACCTGATGTTACGGCCCCTGAGCCAAATTTAGAGCTGTAGAGGTCAAACTAGTTCCCGATTCGACCCCTTACAATATAAAAGGGAACAAAGCATTAAATATGTTATTAAAACTGGGTTGGCGACCTGGTCAAACATTGGGTAAAAACAATAGAGGGTTGCGAAAACCTATTACTTTAAAAGCAAATTTTAACAGAGAAGGCCTTGGTTATAACGACAATGTAAATAGCATATTAAACACCTTAAAAGCCAGGTCGGACTTGCCCATAACGGAGTTATTTGTGCAAACCGTCTTCGAGGAAGACGAAGATAAATATCAAAGGGAATTTATAGGGAATATGAGAACTGAAATTAAAGTTTCAATATTTGACAAAGAAATAGACGCGCTCCTCGACACTGGGAGCGATGTTACATGCATTTCAGAAAGTTTATATTTACAAATTAAAGATAATAATCGTAAAATATCAATAATGCCAGTTAAAGCAATGCAAATAAAAGGTGCTGTTTGGCAGCGCAGCACAAAAATACAACAGATGATCATATTGCCTATAAAGATAGATGAAGTAGTCTTTGAAACACAAACTTTAATTGTAGATAATTTAATAAGACATTTAATATTAGGCTTTGACTGGCTCAAGAGAAATAAAATATTGATTGATTTGAGAAATACTACTGTTGAAATAGAATTTAAAGTGAAAAACAAAGACTACTTTATACCTTTCAAATATAATAATAAATCTGTATTACATAATAACTGCATCAAACAATGTACCGATGATCCCTTAATAAATATAAAAATAGGATCTACATTGGAGGTCTCTGAAAGGGCAAAACTTAGTAAGGTTTTGGAAAAGCATAAGAATATGTTTTTGAGCAAATTGGGAAGAGTCAATTGCTATGAGCATAAAATTGAAATGATCGATGATGAACCTATAGTTACTAGGTCCTATCCCATTCCATATGCATATAGAGCGAAAATGGAAGAAAAGTTAAATGAAATGGAACAAGCTGGTATCATCACAAGGACATCAACGCCTTACAGTAGTCCATTGACATTCACTCTTAAAAAAGACGGCTCAATTAGAGTTCTGCTTGATGCCAGAAGCATAAATAAGAAAATGGTTGCAGAAACAGAGAAACCACCTATACAATTAGATGTTTTGAATTCATTTCACGGAGCGAATTATATCACTACCATTGACTTAAATAATGCATATTTTCAAATTCCGATAAATAAAGATGGTAGAAAATATACTGGATTCACATTCAATGGAAAGTCATATGTATATAATGTTTTGCCGCAAGGATTAAAAACATCAGTAGGAAGCTTTAGCAGAGCCATGAATTTAATATTAGGACCAGAAGTCCAAGAATTTTGTGTGAACTATTTAGATGATCTAGCCATTATTACAACAGGAACGTTAGATAAACATTTGGAGCACATTGATATTGTTTTAAGTAAATTGAATAAAGCTGGCTTAACGTGTAACTTGCAGAAATGTGAATTTATTTGTAAAGAAATTAAAATGCTGGGTTTTATAATTTCAACAGAAGGCATAAAGACAGATCCCGATAAGATTCGAGCGATCCAAGAATTTCCAGCACCTAAAAAGATTAAACAATTAAGGGCCTTTTTAGGTCTATGCAATTTTTATAGAAGGTTTATACCAAATTACAGCGAGAGCATAATACCGCTCTGTGAATTACTTAAAAAGGGACGAAAGTTCCAATGGAGCGGTAAAGAACAGAAGACATTTGATTTTATAAAACAACAATTAATTAATACAATACAATTGCATCATCCAGACTTTAATAAGCCATATTATTTACAAACAGATTGTTCCGGTGTGGGTATGGCCGGAGTACTATATCAGATAGATGATAATAATGAAATGAGAATTTTAGGCTATCATAGTAAAGCCTTAAAAGGCCCCGAATTAAATTGGTCTGTTACTGAACAAAAGTTTTATGCTGTAATAAGCTGCCTAAAGAAATTTGAAACATATTTGAGGGGCAGTAAAGTAATAATACTAACTGATCATAAAGCATTATTGTTTATTAATAATATGAAGTTATTCAATGGTAGAGTAACCCGATGGATTTTGTATATAGAACAATTTAATTATAAAGTACAGCATATATCGGGTAGACGTAATATTGTTGCAGATGTGCTATCACGTTATCCTCCTGATGGCGATCTAATACAAGGGGATAAAAATAATAGTTTAGAAATTGCTTACACAGAGAGCGAACCGAATATTGAGTTGATAGAAAAATTGAAATCCTTATCAGTATATCAATTACAAGATTCAGAGTCGTTGGCTATTATTGAAAAGTTAAAGACATTAAATACTTCCATAATAAAACAAAACAATAAATTTAAAAGGTATAGTTTGAAAAATGATGTATTATATTACAAAACGAATTTACAAGAAGTAATATATTTACCTAAAGCATTGAGACAAGATATTATAAATCAAGTGCATGTCGAAATGGGTCATCAAGGACCCTATAAGGTAATTAAATATGTGAGAGACAGATTCTTTTGGAAAGGTTTAACAAAAGATATTAAAAACCAATTAAGGGCTTGTCATTTATGTCAGTTATCTAAGAAAAGCAATATAACATATGTGGATCCCTGCAAATCTATAACAACAGAAAACATTGGCGATATAGTCATGGCAGACTTATATGGGCCACTTGTATCAGGTACCTTTGGGTACACTTTCATATTTGTCATTCAAGATTCATTCAGTAAATTTATCAAATTATATCCTTTAAAACAGTCAACAGCAAAGTCTGTTGTAACAAAAGTAAAGCATTTTGTTGAGATTATAAAGCCCAAGGCAATAATGACAGATAATGGAAAACAGTTCGTAAATAATCACTGGAAACCATCAATGAGTGAATTAAATATAAAGCCAATATATACCACAGTTAGAAATCCTAGACCAAATACAACAGAGCGAGTAAATAAAGAGTTGAGCAGATTATTTAGGACGCTTTGTCATACTAACCACAAAGATTGGGCGTTAATATTGCCGAAATTAGAACAATTGTATAATAATTCTTATCACAATAGTACAGGCTTCACGCCTTGTGAGATTCTTTATGGTGAGTCTAATGAGATGTCTTTTGACAAAGTAATTTCCAAAAGTAAAGACAAACATAATGTCGAACAAATTAGACAACAAGTGCGTAAAAATTTAAAAGAGGCAAGTCGAATAAGAAACACAAAATTTGATAAGCGAAATAGATTAATAAAATATAATATTGGTGACTTAGTAAAATTTCAAGATCTAGTAGATCAGACGCTGATAATAAAGTTATGAGTAAGTTCAATTTGGCATATGAAGGACCTTATGTAATAGCAGCCGTACCATTTGACAATGTATATCTATCTATACATTATATATGATATACCTTAGCAAATCCAGAGACAAACGAAATTAGAGGAATTTTCAATGCTATTCACTTATTAAAATATTTTAAATAATAATTTCTTTTTGAATAAATTAGAGTAATTAAATAAATATTGTAACATAAAAGGGTTTTGTGGGTGGCCCATGGAAATAATTGTTTAAGTTAAAGGTCTAAAATTATTAAAGTTATGATGAAGAGATTTGTTATATGATAGTAGAACGTTATTAATATATAATGAAGAGTTGTAAATATAGATCGTAAGATAATTTTAAATTGTTTGGTAGTACTTTTAAGTGCAGCAAGCATACTCAACTTCATGTCTTAGTGCAATAGCGCTATGATACGTGGAGTTTTGGCTACTGACGTCTTAGTACCGTACTACTATGATACGTTGGTTGTATTTTTAGTTAACAACATTATCAAATTTTGTTACCAAAGTCGATAGGGATCATGTGGGAGTGTAGTGAGGGGGCGCCATCCGTATGATAGTTGCATTGATGCTTACTGCTACTTGCAGTATTGTGTCTTGTGATGGATCTGCGGGTGTGCTGCACCTGATTCGATGCATCTTGTGGTTCTGGTCGATGGAGGTATGCGGGTGGTGATGTCTGCTGGGACTGTATGGGGGACCTTGGGATGGTGTAAGCCCGACGATAGTCGTATTGATGCTTGTTGCATTCTGTAGCATTGCGTCTCTACGATGGTTGTTGGGCGGGTCGCTATTCTCAATGGCGCTCTCTGCGTCTTGGCTTGACTCACAACCTAAGTAGCTTTGCCCAAGTCGGGTCCCTTCATTGCGGGGCTGCAGACTGTCTGCCCTCCATGATGTTTTATATAACAACTTAATAATATATCTCTATAAAGTTCCCACCTTTGAGAGATTGAAGGCAACTTGTTGGTGGGTGAGACAAACATGATCGAAAAATGCATATACTCAACGTCAGTGACACAAACCCTTTCTGATGGCGAATTATTACTATTATCTTATAACTGCCTATTGGCTATATCTGCCATTGTATTGGTTGGTGGAGCATATGTGTCGACCTCATGCGGGTGGTAGCTGGAGGGAGAATCTGAGGAGGCTCTCAAGGCTGCGGCCGAAAGCCGCGCAACGTGGGACCCCATTCCCTTGAGGTGAGCGGTAGACTCATGACACGCTCTGCGGCCAATTGGCCGTGCTGACCATGCAATTGGTGGTGATGCCTTACACTTACATCACGTCTGCAGGAACGGCGGTCTGGCAGGTGGTGGCGCTCACGGAAGGCTTTTTATGGTCAGTGTGCCCATTGTTGCCTAACCCGTGTGACGTACATTTCACTGTGGCTGGATTTGATCGTATTCTGTATGGCGTTTACACGCATTGACATGCGCGACTTCGGTCGATGTTTGTGCTTACGCACTATCAAGGGGCCAAGTCCTCTTTTACTGGTTCGCCAGTTATTTTGCTGTGGACTACGGTCCAGTTCCCAACTTTGCGTACCCTACGGGGGGAGCGCATTAAAATGGTTGGCGCTCACCGTGCGCGGTGTGTGTGGGGCCGTGTACCTCCTCCACATTTTTTTTAAAATGTGGGAGAGCGAAGCCCTTGTAACTGGTATTTGATATAAATATTGTGAGCCTTTTCCAAGCGGGAAGGGATTAATTAATAAGGAATTGACTGTTGTGAACCAGATACAAGTGGAATAGGGACAATTTATTGTTCTTAACCTTTGTGAGCTCTGTCTTCGTGAACGGGGTTCTTTAGCTTATAAGACTCTACCAACAGCTTTCGATTGCTCTCGTGAATATTCATTCTTCCAAGATACCCCTACAAGAACTAAGTTACTATACAAACACAACGTAAAAAAGGGTCCTAACTAAGACGATCAGGCCATAAATTTATTAAACGGCCTATATTTAAACCTTTAGAAAGATCAAGTTATACTGGTCACGTAAATTAGATATATTTATATATCTTACAGATATAGATTCTAAAGAAATACAAGTATAAGTGGATATATAGGAGAAAAGAAAAAAGATGGGGGGGGGGGGTTCGTTACAGCATCACTCACTCAAATAGGAGAGAGACAGATGTCGAACGCTGCCGAACGCGGAGGCCGATTGTGCCTCTTTGTCTCTCGTTCCGTGCTCTCGCTTGCACTTCAAGCGTTAAATGGAACGCCTCTTAGCGAGGTAACGCCGCATGAGTCATGTTTTTTCGTGCGTGCAGCCAGATTCATCGAATTATAAGACGTTGTCACGTCAAAATGTTGGCTTTGGTGTCATAATTATTAACCTAAGCTATTGTAAAACTGCAGTCCCGTGTTGTGAATCTATTATAGTTCTCATGAATTTTGAATATATGCAACTTTCTACTTAGATAGGCTCTCAATCTAATAAATATAAGATAACATAAATATACATAGAAATATAAAACTTTTATGTATTTGTGTAAATGAGGTAAATCTAGAATCACACTTTACTCACATGTCGTTTTTCGTTTTCATTTTTACAAATTACAATGAAAAAAAAAGTATGATTATAAATTAAAAAATATTCAAATATACAATATTTTAGAGCAAATTAAAAAGAAACTTAACAGTCCTATTACTAGTGAAGTAAAAAGTAAGAAGCCTTAGAGCGAGAAAAGAACCAGCTATCTTATCACCAACAGCGACGACATGTCGCAGGTATACGAGAAAGATCCCTTAGGAACTTTACCGCACGTGGACCCTACGTAACGATCGTCCCTACATTGTTAGTATTATAATTATTTATTTAATAAGGAAATATTAACATGACCACTAGAAAAGTCTAAATTGAAGCTCAAAATAATTGAAATTATTAATTTTTATTTAAACGAAAATAAGAACTACATTATCGTTATAAGCAATTATTATTCTTCTCACACTACCTGTGTGCCTTTAGTTTAAAAAGTAATTTCATATCAGCGTTTTACCACCGATCTTTATTAAAGTTGAAGTTAAAGTTAACCTATATACGTCCCACTGCTGAGCACATGCCTACCCTCATTTCTGAGAGGGTCTTATGGCAAGGAAATGTCCGCCGCGCTGCCCCAATGCATGTTGGCGAACTTCACATATCTTCGAATTTTTTTTCTTATTTCTCAGACATGCAGGTATCCTCACGTTGGTTTCCTTCACCGCCTTGCACGTGGTACATCAGCACTTAAAATTGCAACTAACAATTTCGTTGGTGCCGGAGGAAATCGAACCCGGATTGCTCGCGTACTGTGAAATTTACAGCGAGCGCTACCCATCTCAGCTACCAGGGCTTCTCACCTCTTCGAACTATAATATTCCCGTTTAATGTTTAATATTCATTTTATTCCGCCATGAACTTTAAGTTACAAGAAATAAAGATAATCAGTATGTTCTTTGTGCTTAAATCATTTGCTTATAAAATCTATATTAATCCCCCATCCCAACAAAGAAAGGTGAAAGAAGCTCTGCATAAATTTCAAATGATGTCCAAACCGTGCTCAACATATTGTCGCATACACTAAAATATTTTTCTTCTGTCTTTCATTATTAGTGCGTCAAGACTATGTTGTATTTGAAAATGATTTTGGATGCATATGTGTGCGCACAATACTCCTCCAAGCAGCAATTTCTTAAAAGGAATCTCATACTCATCACTCTGACATCATCGCAATGCGATCTATTACCAATCCAAGAAATTTTGATTCAGCGTTTTAGGGGACTGGATGCCATCAGTCGTTATTCAGAGCCTCGCACCTTAATCAATATGGTATTGATTGCAGTTAAAATATGCTATTGTGATTAAAGTACGTAATAAAGACATTATATAATTAATATTATAGTTTACATAATAAATATAATATGAAATATCTCTCAGTATTAAGAATAGCATGACTTTGGCTAGCTAAATATTTTTAACGATTATTATTTTATCATCAGATAGAATTAATACTGCGCGTGAGAACATTTCATGCCGCCAACACGCTCTGGAATACTTTTCTGATTCTTCTCTGCTCCAAAATATTTTCAGAAATAAAAGAAAATCTGTCACTTTTTCTAACATTTAAAGGGTAGAAGCAAATACACAATACACCAGATGGTAGGTGGATGATATAGCCTATAGACATCTGTATATGCTGCTATTAACTCGCTAGAGTTTTATGCGCGCAAGCATGATCCTTTCCTTGTTGAGTCGACCAATTCGTGCTACAAATATACACGTATTTACAGCTATAGTGTGGTTCTTCCACATAAATACTCTGCTGTGGTACTTTATTTTCCAAGTCTGCCTCAAAACACATTCACAAACACAAGTTACAAATATTTGATTTGAAGCACTTTTAATTTAAGAGACGTCTCAACAAATGTTTGCCAACAACTTACCAAGTTTCAAAAAGAATGTCAACACAAATGAGAAATTTGCTATGTTTGGCCACGAACACAAACTCGAGTCTTCTTTACTTGACTTTGTTTAAAGTACAACTTCATTAGCTTATTTAACGTTGTTTAGTTCTTTAGTTTGGTATCGATGGAAGTGTAGCCATCTCCCTCTTTCACGTGGGGTCGTGGGGTGAAAATCAGAAAGACCTAATGGCCTCCAATAGATCATGGTAAAGATTATAAATTATACATAACGGTGATGCGTAGCACCGTCAAAGTTTTGAGACATCCAGTACTGTGATGACCAATCCTCCTGCCAAGCATAATACAACGCATTTTTAGCCTTTAAATGAGGGATCTTCAGGAGAAATAGACTGCAATGGCTGACCGCCAGCGGCGAGTACCTATAAAGTTGCGCAACTGATTAGGGGCGGAAACTACTCTTCAAACTAGGTAAGGCACATCATTTCTAATTTTCACGCGAATTAATTTTAACAACTAATTAATTTTCCCTAATTAATTTTAAAAACTTTAATGTAATGGATTTC